CTCTATCTCTCTCTCTCTCTATCTATCTATACTTTCCATCTATCTAATCTATACATACAGTCAAACACAGAAACAGAACCAGAGAAGCCGCGGCAGCAGCAGCACTCACGATGGGGAAGATGGTCTTCTGCTGTCCGAGCCAGCGGTAGAGTCTCTCCTTGCGGTTGTGTCCTTCGGAGAGTCCCTGCGTCGTGTCCTCGCCCTTCGAGTAGAGTCCGCAGGCTTCCCGGGCACTGACGGCGGCGCAGGCGAGGCTGACGAGGCAGTCCAGGACGCCCAGGAGGACGAGGGCGCTGGAGACCAAGACGGCTGGGCGGCGGACCAGGACTTCGCCCAGGACGGTCACCTCCTCCTGGGTCTCCTGCGGGTGAAGGAGAGGGGGGAGAAGGGGGGTGGTTAGAGGGTGGGTGTGGTTGTGATGTTGCTATAAGGCTTTTCTCTGATTTTGATTATCATCGATATCCTTACTATGTTATTATTAGTGTCGTTATTGCTGTTGTTTTTGTTGTTAATATTATTCATCATCATCAATCATTATCATCACCACCATCATTATATCATCATTACCATCATTATCATCATCACCATCATCATTATCACCATCATCATTATCATTATTGTTATTGTCATTTTCATCACTATTACCATTATTGTTTTCAATATCATCATCACTATTATTCACATTGACTATCAATGCAAGTTACACAGGAATTGAATGATAACATGGAACTGCGGTTAAAAGAGAAAGGTGGAAGATGAGAGAAAAAAGAGAAGGGATAGTGTTGTGTGGAGAGTGAGAGAGAGAGAGAGAGAGAGAGAGAGAGAGAGAGAGAGAGAGAGAGAGAGAGAGAGAGAGAGGAGAGAGAGAGAGAGAGAGAGAGAGAGAGAGAGAGAAAGAAAGAAAGAAAAAGAAAAAGAGAAAAGAGACAGAGACAGAGAAAAGAAAGATAGAGATAGACAGACACACAGACAAACAGTCAAACAGACAGACAGACAGACAGATAGAGAGAGAGAGAAAGAGAGAAGAGAGAAAGGGAAATGACGTGATCATGAATGGGAAACCAGATTACAGGCCATATTCGACAATCAAGGACCCAAATCAGCTGACTGGGAATGGTCAAGGCAAACCAGAAAATATTTCGAGAAACATGAAATAATCTCAGCTTCTCCACACACAAGAAGAAAGAAGAAGAAGAAGAGAAAGAGAGAAGGGAGAGAGGGAAGGGGAGAGAGAGAGAGAGAGGGAGAGGAGAGGGAGAGGAGAGAGAGAGAGAGGAGAGAGAGAGAGAGAGAGAGAGAGAGAGAGAGAGAGAGAGAGAGAGAGAGAGAGAGAGAGAGAGAAGAAAGAGAGAGAGGAAGAGAAAGAAAGAAAAGAAAGAGAGAGAAGAGAAAAGAGAAAAAGAAAAAAGAAAAAGAAAGAGAAAAGAGAAAGAGAAAGTAGACTAAGAGAAAGAGTAAGAAAGATAGAGATAGACCAGACACAGCTCACAGACAAACCAGGTCAAACAGAACTAGACAGAACAGATATGGCAGCAACAGACAGATAGAGAGAGAGAAA